GAGGGGTTTAGAGAGAGAGAGAGAAGAGAAAAAATATGTAAGGGGTTTAAGGGTGAGTGTTGTAAGGAGAGGGGAGAGTATATGTAATTCCCAAGTGTATACATGTAGTCTCAAAAGAGATGATGAGTGAGTGAGTGGGGTTTTGACATATAGTTGTATATTCTCTTCCTTGATTCATAATAGTGAAATATCTCTCTCCCATAGACGTAACCATAGGGTTGGGTGAACCATGTAAAATATTATGTTGTGCATGGATGTGTATGATTGTTATCTCTATATATGTTTGTGTTGATATGATGTGATGATGCTTCCTCTATGTGTGATGAAGGAAGAATTTAACTCTTAACAATAGCACCGTTAAGTGTGTTGGAGGGAGTTGATTATTCCCCAACAAAAGAAGAATATCCTGTTGGGCAAAGTGAAAGGCGACACAATAAGGGATTTATTGAACGAGTTAATTTAGACGTCGGTGAAGCTGTTGGGTTAGAAATTAGGGCAACAGACGGGTGCACATTTTAAACCAGAACCTCCACAAACCCTAGTTCGAGATTTCATTTGAATTCTTCTCTCATGTTGCATGAGCGATAATGAGATCGGAGCATATTGCTGAGAGAGAGTGAAGAAAGGATTTTCTTGAAATATATTCTTGAAATACCGAAACATGATATAGGGTATTTGAAACACCCAAATCAATTATCTGGTCTCAAATACCCAAATTAAATTGAAATCTTCATGGCTTCAAGACATCAGTGAAGGCTGAGATTGAATGGCAAAGAGATCAAGTGTAAAATGTTCTTTGAGTTAGAGAGAATACCCTTGGATATTGATGGCTAACAAAAGAGGAACAAGTTAGGGTTTCGTATAGCAAACGAAAGAGAAGATTAAGGAAAGATGGAAAAAACGAGGGAAATTTTAGAAAAAGGGTTTTGTACAAAAAGAAGATTAAGGAAAGATGAAAAAAGCGAGGAAGAATTTTTTTGGGATCACATATCTTAATATTGACCTTTAGATTAGGTTTGGAGAGAGCTAGAGAGAGATTCATATGGAGAGGATCCATATCCCAACAACTAGACGCGTCAATGGATCATATTATGATCCGAATCCCATCCGATTATCCGGATATGGATTGAGTTGTAAATATCGAATAACTAGATTCCTTAACTAAAATAATATACTATTTTATTTATATTTTATATATTATAATATGTCAACCATTAGATTTATTAACATTTAATGAAAATAGCTAATCCTAATGCTACTCTTACAAAGGTTCAGTGTGCCCACCCAAATACCAATAGTTCTCTTAATGCTATCACCTACAATGATATACCTAAAGGTTCAGTGTGCCTATCCACATACTACTAGTAATTATCCTAATGCTATCACCGGTTATAACAATACACCCAAATGAAAAGATCTTGAAACCAAATTTCAGAACTGAAACGACAAAGGGGAAAGAGACAGAAGAGGGTGTGTTTGGATGGGATGATTTGGAGGGATAGGGAGAGAAAAGAAATGAAATGAAATGATAGGGTTCAAGTGTGTTTGGATAGGTTAAATGGAGAAAAGAGATGATAAGGAGAAATAACTATCAATCATTTGCTATCTCTCCAACATTGAGAAGATATGGAGAGAAAGCATAAGTGTGATTTAGTGGTATTTTAATAATATCAAAACTAATTTCCGCAAAAGAAAAAAGACTTAACCACTTATAATTACAAAAGGGTAGGACAATAATTTGGTTATTATCCTTTGTTTTATTTTCTTCCCTATATTTTATTCAAACAAGAATGATTATCTTTTCTTTCCTATTTATCCAAACATGAATGAAATTATTAATATCATTTATTTTCTCTCCTCACTAATACTATCCTTTCTTTTCTTTTCTCTCCTATGTATCCAAACGCACCTGAGTTCTTCTATTTGACAAAATTTTCGCTAGAACCCTTGTGTGGTGAGTAATCTCTTTCCTTTTCCTTCTCTTCTTCCTTTCCTTATTCTCCATTACAAGCCCTAATTTTCTTTCACAAGTTCTTTCAGACTTTTTCTCCTTTCATCTTCTCTCTCTTCTTCTCCCCTATTTTTATGGTGATTTTTTTTTATTAAACAATTTTGTCTTTTTTTTTTATTTTTTATAAGCATAATTACACTGCTTCCTAATCAAATATGCTCTTATTAAAAAGTATTATTATAAAATTAGCGCTGTTTAAACAAATATGTTTACCTAATAAATTAAAAAATAAATTAATTTTGAAAAGTAATGGCAAACTTTTTTTATTCTAACACCAACCCAAACATAATTACATTGTTTCCTAATCAAATATGGTAACTTCGGAAAAGGAATAGGAATTGCAATTGCAATTAAAAGTAAAATGAAATTCCATTTATATGTTTGAAGCAAATTGGATTTGAAATGGGATTTGAAATAAAGATAATATTATACCATTTTTGTCCTTGTTTAAATGATAAATGAAATAATTATTTTATTATAAAATATATTCCAAAGTTACATCAAATAGACAAACAATTTGATAGAACTGAAATATAAAATTTATTTAACAAATTAATTTAAAAAAGAACAATTATTTATTAACTAAAAAAAACTAACTTATCCGATATACTTAAACCAACGTATTTAAAAAAAGAATACTAAAATGTAAACTTAAACCTAAGCATGAATTTAATTAATATTTTAAATAAGTTAATTTATTAAATACTAAGCACGTTAATTAAAGTATATTAATTACTTTGTAACAAAAATAATACTATGTATGTATATTAACAAAAGTTTATATATATAAATATTGATAAATGATTATTATATAAATTACTCAACATATTAACTACTAGTAATTAAAAAGTATGCCCCTTAGAATTTTTTTTTTTTTGGTTAATTTCACTAACACACTCTCAGGTTTGGTCAAATATCATCTTGAAATATCTTTCGAAAAATATTATCACTTACACTCCAAATTACTTTTCCGTTACTAACACCGTTAAAATGGGCGTGAAATGACATTTTTATCTTCATTTTTTAATACCTTTAATTTAAAAACTTATAAAGACGAAAGTACCCCTATCATCCTCACCCTCACTCACATATCCTTTCTTCCATTGCCGACAAACGATACACACACACTCTCTCTCTTCTAGCGCTGGCCACCCCACCCTACCACCACACCATCATTGCCAGATGAGTCAACCTTTCAGCTAATCTAATCAAATTAGCATAACTATTAAGAAAAAATCAAATCAACACAACAGACTATACAATAACCAACAATTCACACAGATTAATCAAATATTTTAGAAAAAGAAGAGAACTATTGAGTTTTTGTCCCCAACGCCGACAACGTTACCTGCACACAGATTTATCCCAAACGCCGGCAAAATATTGAGTTTTTGTCTCCAAGAACGTCAATGAAGAGATGACCTTTGCCGAGACCAAGAAGCCGATCACCAAATGGGCCGGATCTGAATCTTCACCGATTTGTTCGCTTAGGAACTTTTGGGCTTTCACCTTTTTTATGAAGTCAGTCCAGATCAGTTCAATCTCTGTACACACACACACACACACATATATATATCACCACCACTACTTCTACGGTTCTACCACCATAATTACCACCCAATTCGACTCACGACGAACCTAATTGAACCGGAACCATAAATCAAGCCCAATTCACACAGACACACACACATATACAGTATCTCTCAAATCTCTAATCCTTGTTCCTTCACAACCTTTGAGCACCCACAGTAAAACTCAAAATTCAAATCCCAAATTGTTGATAGTTTTCATCAATTTTCTTGGTTGTTTCTTGGTTTTTTTCATTTTCTCTCAGGATTAGAGCACGGCAGCTGTGGTGCGTTCATGGCATGTTGATATTGGACTTGCTTTTGCTGTTTATGTTACTCCCCCTGAATCACCTTGGAGTCTTCCCCCTATTAGTTAGTCCAGAGATCATAAGATGACTTGCTTTTGCTGTTTATGTTACTCAATCACCTTGGAGTCTTCCCCCTATTAATAGTCCAGGACTAACTAATAGGGGAAAGACTCCAAGGTGATTCAGGGGGAGTATTTTATGATCTCTGGACTAACTAATAGGGGGAAGACTCCAAGGTGATTCAGGGGGAGTATTTTGCACCGTATATATATCTATATAATACTCTTTTAGTATATTTCTTTAGATTAAAGTTTTTTTTTTTTTTTTTTTTGACAAAGTTAAGGGCCGTTTAAGTTATTTTATATAGTGTCAGATGTTTAAAGATAATAATTGAGGTGTGAGTGAGAAACAAATATTTATAACATGAGTGTGATGGTAATTTTCAGTGAAATTAATCCTCCTCCTCCTTCTTCTTCTTCTTCTTCTTCTTCTTCTTCTTCTTCTTCCTTCCTTCCATTTTTTTTTTTTTTGACTAACCTTAGTAATCAAGGATGCAGAGGTACGCTTATAGAACAGATCCCGTTCAAGTAAGGTCGTTATGTTACTTAGAAATTGATACACAACAATTTATACACTAAAAAATTAACAAGTATATTTTATTAATTGATAATTATATTTTCACTTATATATTAAATTTTTAATTATTCATTAAATTTGTATAGTATAAATATAAGTTTGCTGTAGGATATGAATTATAAATAATTGGATTACATGACTTTTAATCATAAAATTATGTCATATTCTTAGATACAAAATTACAAAATTGATGGTGAATCAATCTATGTAGTTTGAGATACTGATACCAAACAAAAAAACAATGATATTTTATTACTAACTGATAATTTATTATTAACTTGTAAATTCAGAGACAAAGATATATATAAGTTAATTACCAAATTATTTTCATTAAACAATGTTTACGAAAATTTAGGTAGGATTTGAAACGTGTTAAAAAGTATTTGACATCACATCATTTTTAAATCTCATTTATTAGCCAGTGATTCCAACTTTAATCCTGTTTTCAAATTCATTATTCCAAACATAGCAAAAATAAATAAATAAATAAATGGTTCTTTTTCAATAAAGTACTGTACCACACCTCGGCCTGCAATTACCAAAACCTGTGATTTCTCCAGCCATGGCGAGTGACTCAGATACCTCAGGGTCGTCCCACAGGCAGGCCACCGTAACCCTGGACGAACCGGAGATGTCTCCCAGCAAACGCCTCAAAACCCTAAGCTCACCTCCCTCTTCGTTCTCCAAAGGAAAAGACACAGGAATTGATGAATCAACGGTTGATGATTCGGAAACGCACACTTGTGAAATCTGTTTGATGGAGAAAAGTATTGATGAATCAACGGTTGATGTTTCGGAAAGGAACTGCTGTGGAATATGTTTGATGGAAGATGGGAAGGCTATCAGAGGGTGTATCGATAGCTGCGACCACTACTTCTGCTTCGTCTGCATCATGGAATGGTCAAAGGTCGAGTCTCGTTGCCCCCTATGTAAGCGCAGGTTCACTACCATTCGTCGTCCGCCAAAGGATGGATTGTTTCTCACCGAGCGCCTTGTTAACGTTCCAGTTCGTGATCAGGTCAGGAATTTCTCAATACTATACATATATATATATATATATATATATATATATTTGTAGTCTGATTGTGAAGATTTGTAGTGGGTTTGTTTTGGTTTTTGGAATTGACTTGGTTGAAGTTGGGTGTTAGTTTATTGTAGGGCTTAAACCAATTTTCATGATTTGAGAATGGACCTTGAGGACCTTTTTTGGCAATTTAGTAATCACTTGTAAAATACAAATTAAGAAAAAATATAAAATAAAAAATACCCACTGGTTATTCCTCTCTCTCTCAGTATTAGAGAGAGAGAGGCTTTAGAGGTTTACGTGTTCCATGGTAAAAATCTAATCTCCCCATTAGTAAAAATTTCATAGAACATGGGTTATGATTTGAGTTATTCTCAAAACTGTCACAGTAAGGTGGATATGGTTAAAAGTATTTTTATGGAGAAGGTTTGGATCAGATTATTTTTTTAAAAAAAATTTACATGTTTGATTATGTTGATTGCTGGTTTTTGTCTCTTAGTGGGTTCCAAGAGATTGATGCAAATAAGCATGAAGCCTTTCCAAATTTGGAAATAACATTTTGAAATTCAACCTACAAAGACAAGTGAATAAGAAAATCATTTTCTTTAAGAGCTACCATAATGTATATGACAAAATAAACATCAAGCAAACTAAAAAAACACAGAGAGACTGACTTAAAATAATTATCACCAAAATGTACATGACGCATTTAATTAATAGGAAGAATGGTATGACATCCGGTACTCTTCAATATTGTCAAACTACAATGAACAATTAGGCACATTAAATTCCTCTAATGATTTCCCACTTCGAGAAACCTAATGCATTGATTGGAAAATATTCACATGAAATTTTCCATAAAACAAAAATGGCATCAGTTTATAGATTAGACTATACAGAATTTAGAGCAGATCTTGAAGCTCTTTCATCTTCTGTTGTATCTGCAGCTTGTAACTTGACTCAGCTTGAGATTTGATCTTGAATCCACTGTAGTTCTTGCTCGGCTTGAGATTCATCTTGAATCCACTGCGTGCTCTGTATTTCTTGCTCGGCTTGAGATTCATCTTGAATGCACTGTAGTTCTTGCTCGGAGAGTGCATGTGACAGATCTATAGAATTTGTGCACAACTGTTGAGTATTGCTTGTAAGAATCTCCATCTCTGCTCGTTTGTACCGTTTTCTCTTGATCCGAAAACAAAACAGTTATTGGATGTAGCAGATCACACCAAGTGTGCAGAGTATTTGGAAGGATATTATTATGTTAAAAGAGAGAAGAAATATGCAAAACAAAATGGGAAGAGGCCGACAAGGAGGCTTAGAGGAGGATGGTGGAAGGCCACCCAAGGGGACAAGCTAATTCCAGGGAAACCCAAGAAGGGTTATATGAAGAGTCTTAAATTTCACAACTACAAAGATGGTAAATCCAATTTGTAATAAATGCTCGAAGAGTGATTGGATTATGCATGAATTCAGACTTGACTCTGATAAAGTAAGACATACCTTCTTCTTTTTTTCTAAAATTTTGAATTTGTTTACAATTTTTAGTGTGATCTTCATCCAACTGTTTTGTTTTCGGATCAAGGGAAAATGGAACAAACGAGCAGAGATGGAGATTCTTACAAGCAATACTCAACAGTCGTGCACAAATTCTATATATCTATCACATGCACTGTCCGAGCAATAACTACAGTGCATTCAAGATGAATCTCAAGCCGAGCAAGAACTACAGTGGATTCTAGATCAAATCTCAAGCTGAGTCAAGTTTCAAGCAGCAGATACAATAGAAGATGCTAGAGCTTCAAGATCTACTCTAAATTATGTATAGTCTAATCCATAAACTGATGCCATTTTTGTTTTATGGAAAATTTCATGTGAATATTTTCCGATCAATGCATTAGGTTTCTCGAAGTGGGAAATCATTAGCGGAATTTAATGTGCCTAATTGTTCATTTTACTTTGACAATATTGAAGAGTACCGGATGTCATGCCATTCTTCCTATTAATTAACTGCGTCATGTACATTTTGGTGATCATTATTTTGAGTCTGTCTCTCTTTTTCTTTTTAGTTTGCTTGATGTTTATTTTGTCATATACATTATGGTAGCTCTTAAAGAAAATGATTTTCTTATTTACTTGTCTTTGTAGGCTGAATTTCAAAATGTTATTTCCAAATTTGGAAAGGCTTCATGCTTGTCTGCATCAATCTCTTGGAACCCACTAAGAGGTGAAAACCAGCAATCAAACATGTTAATATTTTTTTAAAAAAATCTGATCCAAACCTTCCTCCATAAAAATACTTTTAACCATATCCACCTTATAGTGACAGCTGTGAGAATAACTCAAAGATGGAAACTTTATTTTCCATCTTTTCTTCCCCTTCTTAAAAATAAAGTAAAGACAAACTGAATGCTATTGCAATGGTACTTGCAAATCTCAAGTATTTTGTCATGTGTTAACACAAGTCAACTTCAACTAGAACATGGGTTTGAGGAATTTTCGTCATGATCTTTGATGTTACTTCATCTTCCTCTTCTTCGATATCTTCTTTGGTTGTAAATATATTGACTCAAGACATTTTGTTCAACTTACAACCTAGTTTTACGTAGACATTTGCCAATACAATCCTCAATATTCAAACAAAGCAAACATATTTTACCACATTCCTTTATATTTCTCTCTAAATACTTTAAATTTGACGGACTTCACATTAAATGGCGGCCAATTTTTTCCTAAAACAATTATTTTTAAATTTTATTTTACTTGTTGCCTTTGTAGACTCGGACAAAATCTCACATCTAGCCCTTTTCACAAGTTAGGTTGCCAACATCAATTTTTATATTTTTTCTTTGATTGCCAGCTAATTTATGTCATTCTTCTTATTTTTGTTTTTCCTGTTCCTTTTCTTAATTTGCTTACTTTGGTCTTTTGCCTTGATGTTAATTATCCAATTTTTATGAATATTAGTTAAAAATCATAATTCACAGATTTTAATCTAAGCAATGATAGTGACCATTATGGTGATCAAATGAGATAATCAAGTGGCTATTGTTGAGTCAATCACCAACTTTTAATTTCTTCGAGAATTTTTTTATTTTTTCATTTTTACTATCTATGTGTCTTTGTATTCTAGGTTTTGGTCTCATATTACTATACTAAAAAAATAAGAATAATAACAATAGAAAAAAAGGTCATTCATGAATGTATACCAATCAAATAAATAAATCAAGTAATAAAAAGGTAAACAGACCAAAAAAAAGTGTAATCTAGGATCAATGTACAATTCATGGAAACCAATTCCTAGATTATTACAAGATGGGAGTTTTTGAAATACTCATTGTCCTGCTCTTCTTAAGATTTAAGAATAAGCTTTTTACTTTTATATGAATTTGTTTATCTATGTGTGTGGGCTCTTATATTACATGTCACATAAATTTGCTTGGCACTTTGAGGTTTGCTGTTTGCTAGCCTTCCCTTGACGGCTTTGATATGTGATGTTTTAAGTTATATTAGTTCTCCAAGCTTTATTTAACATTTAAGACAAATGGACCCTATGTTGGGTCCAAGGTCCAGTTCTCATAAGGCTACTGATCCCTGTGGGTGTCTCATTATCAGATTACTGACATTTTGGAGGCCTTTTAAATCTTTAGCCACTGATTTGGCTTGATTTGGTTCATTTGAAGGCTATTTGAGTTTGCCTTGGTCATCCTCTACCTTGTTGCTGGTTACTTAATTCCCAGCACTCCCTCTCTCTCTCCCCTGCTAAAAGTTTGGGATGGAAGAATGAGAGTGGCTTTGTGCAGCATGAAACAAATTATAAGTTGTTAGACATGTTTATAATTTAACTAAGACTTATTTTTGTGTTCTATTATTAATAGGTATGAAACCTAAATTCTACTATATATGTGGAAAATTTTCTCCCCTGGATGATTAACATGTTGCACACTTGTAGAGACAACTCGTGTCTACCCATTTCGGGGCTGATTGGACACTTTTATATTATTTATTAAAGTTTGCATGTAAAAGCAAGTACATTATGCCTTCCATTGTCGACTCTATTACCTAGTATATATTTTATTCATTATTTTCTCTATGATTCTCTTTTTACTCTCAGTCAAGAGCACATGCACGCAACTGATATGTGCACTTGTAGATATATATGATATTGTGGATTTACAATATTACACATATGGGCTTGCTCCAATGTCTAAATCTAAGAGAGTTGATGTGCCAACTGTGACAATTCGTATTACTTTGGACTGTCAATCTAGTCCTTGTCCGCAAACTGTAGCTTAAACTGGAAGCCTTATTATCTACTGATTGTCACATGTTTTATTTTGATATATCCTTGCCCTTGCAGGTGTGCCATAGGGCAATAGAGACTCCTCATCCATATTCGGAAGTACAATGTGGTGTGTGCCGTAGTAGGATAGATGAAAGCCGTCTGCTACTTTGTGATCTTTGTGACTCTGCCTATCATACTTACTGTGTTGGTCTGGGTGCCACTGGACCTGTAGGTGATTGGTTTTGCCAGGACTGTACTGTTTCTGTGGATGAATATACCAAAAGCGAAATAGATACCGATTGTGCCAGTCAAACCTGTTGTAACGCTCATGAAGTGCCACCAGCTGGGGCTTCTGTTTCTGTCTTAGATATTGTAGCTGAACCTGGTATCAGAGAGGTTCAGAGACCCCATACAACAGATTCTCTGCGTACAAGTCGGTTGTCATCTGGTATTGCTCCTGACAGAGGAATGAGTGTTGCAGCTAACACGTCCGAGGGGGATTCAAGAAATCCTGCTGTTGCATCTAATGCGTTTGAGGGGGATTCAAGAACTCCTGCTGTTGCATCTAACGCAACTGCCTTGGGTGCGAGAACGTTGCAGCGTTATCGCATTGTGCATGATCGCATACGAGCATTACGTGAAAATTGGAATGGCTTCCGAAGTGGGGCCTTGAGTTTCTGTTCCAGTTGCACTAATCATGACAAATTAAGTCAACCTAATTGCAGATCTTGCAGGGGTCAGCAATTGACAGCTCAAAATGATACTTCCTGTAATATATCACAGAATAGAGGCTCATACAATATAGAAAAAGCATGGAAAATGATGGATGCTGCAAAGTCTATTGAAAAGGGACGTGGAAGGGCCAGCTTCATGCATCAGGCTTCAAAACATCATTCAAGCAAAGTAAATGTTCCAAAAGGAAAAGTTAACATGAATCCATGTCTTCTCATGGCGAATGGGAAACAACCTGGGGCTACGAATCTTAAAATCAATGGATATAAAAACCATTACCAGTATAATTCTCTGGAGAAGGTAAACGATTTGCATAAATCTCCGATGTTTGAAAAACAAAAGCAGAGGACTGTTACTATGGTGACAGATTTAAAATTCGGTGCGGGTTTGCCATCTAATTCACCAGTGTATGAGTTGCCATCTGCTAGGATGGCCCAGACTTGACATTTGCTATGGAAATGGCGGGAAACACTCACAGGAGTATTCACTTGGAGCCTCATCAGATGTTCTTAAAGAGCATAATGGATCTGCTGTTGGGTCAGTGGTGCACATAGCTTCAAATTTTACTTGTGGTACATCGGATGCCTCTTCCTCCAACAAGATAGAAACTCCTGAAGGTAAATCGTGCCAAAAGCCAGGCTAAAAGAGATGAAAATGCGAAGAGTGAGATTCAGTCTCTTGTCAAGCTCAATCTAAAGCTTCTGAGTGGAGATAAAAAGTTAGGTATGCACATTTTGTTTGAGCTTATGTCTTTCATAAATAGTCTCTGTGAAGTGATTACCACTACAATTCTTAGGCTATGGGAACATGGTAAAGGAAAGGTTCTAGCTTCCTTATGTTTTATAGGCAATTATGATTTCCCCTAAGTGTATACTTCAAGTTTTTGTTTTTTTTGTTTTGTTGGTTTGAGTTCAACGTACCAAATCTGCTTCTTTAGGACTTCGCGAACCCATTTTAAGGTCCCTGCAATGGTGAGATAAGTATAGAGATTTTAAAGAAATAGCTTTCTCATTTATGAAATCCTGGGCAATTTACCATTTATGGAAATGGGATATGCTAACATTTAAAGATTCTGCATAGTGAGCAAAGGAATTTTTACGTATGTCAGAGAACTCAGAACACAGTGCTGGCAAGTAATCGTCATATTCGGTAGCATAAATAAATAATAGTAAATAAATTTGAATTTTTAGCAGCTGATAATTATATCCCTGATAATTTTTGTTGAATTATGGAAAGAAAAACAAAATTTAATGTTCATATTGTCATAATCTGCATAATGCAACATATGAACACCTGGAAATCAAATCCAGGATCTTGTCCACCCCAAGAAAGAAAATATGGTGAAGTTTAATGTCATGGATAACGTTCTCGTTTTATTTAAATTTGCAGAAACTGTAGGATGGCCCCATTTGAGATGCCCCTTTAATTATTATGATTGGCTTGAAGCAATTTTACTTCAATTTATCTTGTAGGAATACTGAAAAAAGAAAATTTATTGATTTTTCTGTGCAGAAGTGAATGCATTCAAGGAAGTCGCGAGGCTTGCCACTCATTCCATCTTGGCCGCATGTGGTTTGGAGCGACCAAAGCCTGGTGTCCGCTCTTTCCCAAGTTCCGTATGCTGCCATGACAAACAAGATCAGCAGCTTCGAATGTCCACTTTAATGCCTAGTTCTTGCAGAGAATGCTTTTATGTCTTCGTAAAGGATGTTGTCAAAACCATGATGTTTGAGAAAGTGAGTGGCATTCAAATGTCGTAATGAGGCCTTTGTGTTTAGGGTTTTTGCTGCAGAGATGCAACGAGGCAGTTCATGTTTGCAAAATTGTGTAGGGTGTTATGCGTTGGTATTTCTTTTTGTTCTTGTGTATTGATTTCTCAATACTCTGGAATTCCTGTATTTGTAGTGATGAAATTTTACAAATGAAAGGGTGACAAATCACAATGATCAGTTCAATTTGCATGGAACATCTGAAAGCGCCTATCTAGACCTGTCAATGGATCGGATTTCGATCGGAATCCAATCCGATTAGCCGGAATGGAATCTGGAGTAGTTTCTTTGTTATTTATTTTCCCTCCTTTTTCTTTTATTCTTCCTTTTCATCTCTCTATTAAAAGCCCTAATTTTCCATTTTTCACAACAATTTATTTCAGATTTTGTCTTCCCTCTTTATTTTCTTCTTCCCCTCCCGCTCATTCTCTCTTTTTTTATGGTGATTTTAGTTCTTTGTTACAAAAACCCAGTTTTCTCTCTCTTTGTAAGCCCTAGCTTTGATCTTATCTGTTTTTACCATTGTTTAGAAGATATTCAACACAATTGATTTGGTGTTTCTGAATTAATTTGCTTGAGTTGTGTTTGTTCAAATTGCAAATGTATAGTTTATAATCGGATCGGATAACTGATAGAATGAATATCGGATATGGATTAAGAAAAGAAAGAATCTGTCAGATTATAGGATCGGATCGGATCACTTTATATGCTAATCGGATTCGGATCGGATCCGTCGGATTATAGGATCGGATCGGATCACTTTATATGCTAATCGGATTCGGATCGGATCGACCATGATCCGGTTCGAATACAACTTGTTGACAGGCCTACGCATATCTCATCAGAAAGAAACACTTCCACACTTTCTTGTACCGGTGATACTAGTCATCCTTCACTTTAATGGGTCGAGGCTGGTTCAGCTACAAATTCTTCGGTCCTGCCTTTGCCTAGGTCCGAGCTCAGCAGGATTTTGACTTGTCAATGGGCCAGGCTTAGAAGTTTACCGGCTCTGGGCTGGATTTGAGCTGCTGGAATGTGCTAATTTTCGGCCATTTTGTGTAGGCTTTATATGGTTATTTTAGTTTAGACCAAAAAAATGAATATTGTTATTATATTCAAAAGTATGCAAGAAAAAAAACACTATAATTTATTACAATTCTCTTACAGACATAGAGTCTTTTGGTGACGTTGTTAGAATAGAAAAAATGTTGGAAAAAAAACATATGTTAGGTGTTTGGTGTTATTATAACTTTTATAATTAAATTAGTTCGGTAACAATATTTTTTAAAAGCGTTTGTATTGCTAATTTTATAATAATATCAGTTAATATAATGTTACAATATTTGATAATAGTAATTTTGTAAAAGAAGAGCTAATAGTTATCTAAAATATATAATATTTATCCGGAACACGCAACTTCATTTAAAAGGGCTTTAATAATTATCAAACACATCTTAACCATTTTTTAAAAATAAAAGCCCTTTACGTAATTGAAAAGCAATCTGAAACACAGAAATGTCACAATTTACCTAAAAGGAATAATCAATTCTTTTTTGGTAATTCAAAAACAATAAAAATAATGTGAAAATTAAAAATAGAATGATGTTCTAGAACATTCAATTTTTTTAATTGAGAAATATAGACTATTATATCACTTGTTTAAAAATTATGTATAAATTGGTTTTATCTTATGCTCTGTTAGCTAGGAAAGAAAAAAAATTAGATGGATGGATGAAACATCCCTAGGAAAGTAATCGTGTATTTCTTTCTTTTGTTCGATTTAATAGAATAAAAGAGAATAAACTTATAATTTCCTATATTCGTTAAGAGAGAGAAGAAAAGAGAAGCTTTTGATTGTTTTTACTATTATATCCAATATATTTATAATATTGTAATTTATAGAGAAATTATTATAATTTAAAACTTGTATAATTTAGATAATATTTAATTTAAAATTTTTATAATAGTCAACTTGTCTTTCCTTCCGCCCATTTTAGACAGATGAAAATTTATAAAATAGTCATCCTTCCTTTTCTACTTTCTTTTCTTATATCATTTGTATCGAACAAAGAAAGTTTGTTAATTTCTTCTTATTTTAACCATATCTTAACCATTTTTGAGAAATACATTATTGTAATATAACATAGTAAATGACTTTTTCAAAAAGCTAGACAAATTCCTTTGCGTGCAGTAACAACTTTTGAGAAAGTAAAAAAGGACAGTTTTTTTTCAAAGAAATTGAAATTAAGTGTTCTCTCTCATCTTATTTTCAACTCAAAAAAAGTACCCAAAAAAATATATATTAAATAAAAAGTCACTCTAACCCTTGTTGGGGTTTCAGAATAATTGTAATGATATATATATATATATATATAGTTTAAATTTGCAAGTCACTCTAACCCTCATATATCCCCATTGGACCTAACCTTCCTTGTTGGATCCAAAGAATTTATCATCTGTAATTGATTAACAATTACTTCAAATTCTTTTGTTTATATTTCAAAAGGTGACTTTTTAAGCATTTTTATATGGATTAATTGTTTCTTTCTACTGGAAAAATAAATAAACAAATAATAAATAAATAAATAAATTTTCTTCGTAAATACTATATTATTATAGTACATTGAAAAAGTCCATTAAAGCTCGAGTCACCAAACACCTTTGGGCCGACACGTTTATGATGTGGAGCAAAAGCAACGGTTCAATTTTTAAAAGGCCTAACAATAATAGTAGGCTACGTACAATAAATTATTACATAGCTTTTCTTGTGATACAAAAAATATTCTTCAATGTCAAGGCATTTTCTTGGATGGAGTTAAGAGATAGAGTGATTTTACATTTTGATCCTCATAAAGATTATTATATTACTTTTATATAAAATGCAATAATCTCCTGAACTGTCTCACAGTTGTAAATATGGGACTATATAAGTTTGACAAAAATTATCAAATCAATTGGTTCGAAATAAAAATAAAATGAATATTTATTTTTAAAAGACCAAAGGTGCTCAGTATCGTTGGGTGGACTAGGTCCCATTCACCAGGCTAAGTTTTACTACACTGTCGTTGTTGTGCTGAAATTTTGACAAAGTTCAAAAATTGATAGTTTTATGTAGTTTGGAACTCGATTCATTACGTTTTTAGACTTAGTTAGTTGTAGGGTGGTCACGGATTGGATCGAATTAGATATTAATTCTAATTTGATCCGTTTTTAACAGATTTTTTTTTTTTTTTGACAAAATTAAAAAATTGATAGTTTTATGTATTTTGCAACTGGAGTTGCCACGCTTTTAGACTTATTAGCTATAGGGGTGACCGCGGAACGAATCAGATTAGGCATCAATCCAAATCTGATCCGCTCCTAACTGATTGAAAAATTCTTAATCCGCTACCGATCCGTAGGATAACGGATAGGATTGTATTCGTGGAATGATGGATCGGATTCGCAGATTAAAATTTTTTCTAAATTGTCCAATATTATTTATTTTTAACCATAACTAAATGGATAAATTTATCAAAATTAATTCATATGATCATTAACTATAACGTTCTAAGAGTTCATTGAATGGTCATTAACTAATTAAATTAATTAATACATTATTTGAATATATTGTTAGTAAAATATATGTTTCATGTAACATTTAAAATATAACAACCCTTATACTAATGTGTTATGAGATAATTAATAATACGCTAAGAAATGATTAATTAAATATGCAATTATATATTTAATTAAAACGAAAATTAAAGCAATAAAATTATAATAATAAATAAAAAACTTGGACCGAGGCTAGTATTGGATACTATATCCTTAAGACAGATTCGCCCCGCTATAATGCTAACGGACTCAGTGGCGTCTATATCTCAGGATACAACGGTCTACATCCACTAATAGCAGCACTACAAACTCGTGGATACGGCGAACCTTCTCCGTGTAATACTCTCTCTGACTCAAAAATGCATCTATACTAAATAAATGCTAAATTGGATGCAATTCGAACCAAATGGTTCGGACCAATCTTAATATGGTTCGATGTAATTTGATTAGGGTCTAAGTGACTCAAACCACTTGACCTATGGTTTGACCCACTTGGGTTAGGTTCAAGTCTAGGAAAAAAAAAAAAAAAATTGAATTCAACTACTTGCAAATGGTAGCCCAATGGTGTATTTATTAAAATAGAAGTACCTTTTCGGATTGGGTGTATCTTTTCATTATTGGATACAACCATTTGCATGCGTCTCTTCATCATTAGACACAACCATTAATACTAAACACAACCATTTATATGTGCCTCTTCATCACCAGACACAACCACTCCAATTGGTTGTAATGGTTCACATGGTGTCTATTCACCACTAGACACTTCCACTCCCATAGGTTACAATGATTCATATAGTATCTGTTCACCACTAAACACATCCACTCCAATAGGTTATGTCTATTCATTTTAAGTTGTATCTTTTCATTCCACAACCAACTAGTAATCACACATGTTCAGTCAAAGACACCTACTGATGACTAATCAAACAATTTTAATTCACAATTTCTAACAATCTCTCACATGAATGGAATTTGGCTACTTAAATGGAAAAGATGATCATGCAGACACTAGAGAGAGTATAGTCGGAAAGTTACTGCATCGGGATAGGTAGTTTTTGGCCTTGAACCTTCCCTAGTGTATTGCTATCGGATTTACTGGCTAACTAGTGAACGTGATGTCTTGAACTGTTCAGCTGTTTATGTAAACCAAGACAATAACAAATATACAGTTTCCTTCCTCACAAAGTTAGTTCTCATCATTGTGTTCATTTTGGCCCTAAACAACTCCAGGTATTCAATGAGTGCTCCAGAAAACTTAGCCTTTATAGTTCTCATAGAAGTGGCCCCATTTCACACTTATATAGGTGACTTCTTATTAAAGTATCCTACTATACCCCACTTGAATTTTCAAGGTATATGAGTCATTAAAATGGTAGCTTATCCTAATCCTCACTGTAGGTAGCACTGTCTCATCATAGAAATGGATAGAAGATTTATATCTTCCCAGTACTTCTGGTGAGTCATTCAGAATTTTTATTGTCCCTTTAAACCTAGATCTTGGGATCTCTAGTCAACTAGGTTGGGTTTCTATTAAGATGACTCGCTAGCTTTCAGCTTTTAATCTCATTCCCCTCGATGAT